TCAGCCTTGTAAACGGAAGACTCAAGCCATGTACTGTCGGTACACTAAACTCAGTTTTAAGACCCTTAGCTCCAGGTTGAAAGCTTTACAGCAGAGTGCTGATCTGGCATCTGCTGGTCCAAACTCCTCGGGATGGTTTGTATGGAGTCGCGAAACGGTGCCGAGCTGCTTACTGGGTGTGAGCCCTTCCCTCCCACGGCCGCAGCGTCCGCAGCTGGGGAGGACAGAGGTGCAAAGAGCACAAATATCTTCCATGCCCGGGTGGGACTGAGCTTGCGCTACCAGGAGCATCAGCGGTGCGCAGATCCTGGGTTAATGTTCCTGAAACTGTCTGTAATTGCAGCCAATGTTCTTGCCATGCAGAACATTTAAATGGTGTGTTGCCTCTTAACATTGTCAAAGCATCTGCATAAGGATGGCTGTGCAGGCAGCTCAGGCACTGCAGGATGCTTATGTGAGATCTGATAGTCCCTAGCAGAGATGAAAGTAACTCTCCCCGCCTCAAAATCTGGGAGCCTGTCCTGATTTCAGTAGTACATTCAAGTGAAACAGCTTGACCTATGGAGTCCCGCAGCTTGCTTGAATAGTGTTGCAGGTCTGTGCAACACTAATTTCACTTTTACATTCGTGTTGTTTTGCAGTAAACAAAGGCAATATTGTTTTTTTAAAAAAAGTCTCATACAGGGAGCTTTCCCCTTCTCTACATTCAAAAGCAGAATCTGTGAAATAATTTCCAAAAGTCTGAAAATGCAGAAGGGGCCTCAGAGCAATGGAAGGGCAACTTAGAGCCACTTAGAGCCTGCTGATGAGAAGTGGGTAACAAAGGCTTTCTGCATCAAAATCTTCTCTCTAGATCATGGTTTATGCAAAAGTAAAGACTAAATGGGCTTTTGAAAAACAACTATTCTATGGTACGTTAAATTGAAGAGAACTATTTTTCCTAGAAACATATGTAGAACTACAAAGCATTCTAATTCTTCTTGTAATTAAAATAAGTAATTCTCTGCTCTATGATATGCTCAAAAACATCCTGTCCCTGTCCCATGTCTAGACGCCGTGAAGAGTCTAGAGGGATATATTTAAACAAAAACTGTTCTCCAGTACTTGTGATTCGATCAGAATTAATCCTATTGCTCTGAAAATAACTGTTTCACTTTTCTGGAACTAAAAATATGTAGGAAACTAATTCCCTGCCTCATTTTCTGTAATCCACAACGTAATAAATGTAATTTCACTCTTTTGAGATTCCTCATCCTTGCCTCTATCCTCTTAGCCATCAGCAAAACCATGCATTTTAAAATCCTTCCTAATTTTAAGAAGTGAAAGAGGAAAAGAGGAGGAAGTGTTTGGGCCAGTTAAAATACCATCACTGTCAAACAGAAAGCATGCAAAATGCTCGCAACTAAATTAACTTCTGCCACATGTTCTCTTGGAAACTGAGCTGTATTGCTCTCTAAAACCTGTCAAAAATTGGACAACATTGATTCTGTTCCCTATTTAAGGAAAAGCATCTCAAGTAATTAAATATCTGGGGAGAACAGTCATGGCAAAAGTTGAAAATAACATTTTCTTTTCATTTTGATTTTACTGT